ATTATTTATTTGTAAGCTTTTAAAATGATATTGAAATTTGTTATGAAAAATTAAATGGACGATGATGAAAACTTTGGAAACAAGAAAGAAGTTTGTTTTTCCATTGTGAAAATGGCCGTAAATTAAAAATAATTCATGGGAAAAATTAAGCAATGTAATATTAAATCTGTAACGAGAAATTATTCCTTTACCATACAATTTTTTCAAATGGTTAAAATCTTATAGAAATTTTGTACAAAAAGATATTTTTAGAATAAAATAATTTATAAGGGATGATTTAATGTATAAAAATTGCGTAGAAGTTTTTTTGTGGTTATATAAAATGAAATCATTTCTTCTAACTATTAATTACAATGCAGATTATTATTAAAAAATACTCCTTGCAGAAATTATCGTATGCATCTAATTCGATTTATATTATTATCAATCCAATTTTCCTGTAACAATCTAACTCAAATTTTCCAATTCTTTAATTTATAATAGTTTTTTTCCTATATTTTTTGCTAAAATTTTATAAATAAACTAAAAAACGTTTCAGATTCACGTATTTTCTAAAATTCTGATTTCTATGTTACGTACATTATCGTACAATCAACGTTTTTTGAAAATAAAACTCTCCTTCCTTTAAAGCGATATTTCACACGCAAACTCGATCGAACGTTACTCCAAAAATCGTTAATTGTTAATTAAAAGCGGATGAGACAACCCGAAAACAACATTGTCAGAGATGCATATATTCCCTTCCGATAATATTCCGACACGTTTAAACGCTTTACGGTTTGTTTAGTCGAGGCTAGAGCTTACAGTTCAGATATTCCATAAATGTAGAAAATAAATAGTCGGTGAGCAAACACGGGGGAGGATAAATTTAGTCGAAGAGGGTTGGAGTCGCCGAGCGTTGGTTCAAAGTAGAACCACCCTCCTCCTTTTTCTGATTGTATATTTATTTGATTCCACCGTTTCTCGCCTCTTGCATCGAACACCACCCTCCCCGCCTCGGGGTATTTTCGAATCAAGACGGTACGCGTTGACGAGAAGTTTACCCTATTTTCGCATTTAACGGCCCCCGCGTTTTAAAGTGAGAGACTGGGAAGGATGCGGCTGTGCCATCCAAAGATATTTCCACGAGCCATCCAAGAGGAATATTGCATCGATACGACGTCGTAAAATTCGATGACTCTCTCTCTCTCTTTTTCTTCGTTCTTCACCCCCTTCGATTTTCATACCGTTTTCAAGGGAAGAGGGAGAGGGCTACTACGTATAAAAAAACAGGAGAATCCTCATGAGATCAGCTCGATCCCAATGTTGCAACGAGGGATAAAATATGGAATCTTGGGCGGGTCGTGAAAAAGTCAGGATCGTTCTAGTCGCAGTTACTTAAGCCACTACCTTAACTGCCCTTGCCTCGAGTCCTCTTTAGTTTATTGGCCGCAAAAGCAGCAGCTGTCGATTCTTCCGTGACTCGAAAGTCGCTAGTACGGTTATTGATTCTTTTTCTTCTTTTTTCTTTTTTTCTTTTTTTTTTTTTGAGTGCACACACAGTGAAATATTGATGAGAGAAATAGATAGTATAAACTTTTCTCTTATCCGAATGCAATACATAAATTTTCGAATCGAATCGACAAATGGCTTCTTTGAATTTTCTTTTCCTCTTTTGTTCTTTTCTCCCAAATGAAAAATAGAAATATCATTTCATTTACACGCAATCACGAGTGGAACAGCATCATCTATCTGAAAAGAAATGAAAAATATTGTTAGATAAATCAATTTCATTCTTTGAATAAATCTCATTAATTATTTTGATAATAATTTTTTCTTTAAATATATATTTAATGTCTAACATTTTCAAACAAGTAAGTCACAAACCAGGCATGAAAAATTTAATCATTATTTTTAACAATCTATATATTCTTTTTTTAATAAATATATAAATAACAAGTTCTATATTATGAACGTAACAATTATAAATGATAAAAAAAATTAACAATGAATAACAATCGCAGACTAGACAGACTGTGCAATTTTTGTTCACCAGAAAATGGAAAGGAAATAGAAGATGGGAACAGGAAATACAGGAAAGATAAAAGGTTGTATAGTAAAGCATAGTGCGTTCGACGTTTCCCCTATCGAGAAACGTTACAATCCTTCCGGAACGTATGCACACGAACAAATTAAAACGCGTCGTGAAACATGGAATCGTGTCGAGTAAGCGCAGCTGCAGCTAAGCACGTAAATAGAGTACACTCGCGATACTATGCGTTGAATTCATAGCCTCAGGCGCGGAAAATTCCGTGTGACGAAAATCTCTTTTTCCGTGCAACGAAAGCACGTTGTAGGCTCTTCCGATTCTTCCGAAAAACGATCCACTATGGGTTGTTGGCACGCGTAACGCGATCGTCAACGTGTCAACAGGATGTTCGATGTAAGGAAGTAGTCAAGTTTCGGTATATGTCGTCTTTGATAACAGAGAAGTACCTCTTCGGATACATTTAATGTGTCATAAGTAGACTGGGAATATTTGTGCAGTTGAAACGTGTTCAAATATTCAACTAATATGTGAAGAATATTTCGTATTACGTAAAAATTATATTATTATGCTAAATTATATAAAATGTATGCACATAATATGTATGTATTTGGAATTATTTGTAACTTTTTATTGTGAAAAATCTTAATTTGAGGCATAAACTATGCAATTAACTTTAATATAAAAATATTATGCATGTAAAATATAAAAATATAACCTCCAAATATTCGGAATTGTAAAGTTTAATTTATTATTATCATCGCTCTTAAAAAGAGAAAATATAAACACTTACCTTCTTTTGAATATGATTTTACCACAGGTTACAATTATAATGCAATATATTCATCATAGAACGATCAAAAGAGACGAATATTCATTGAAAGAAACGTATAATCACCTTTGATTAAAATTGAAATTACTCTATAATAATAACGGTCTCAGTAATACGAAACAGCGTCTTTAGCCGATCATGTTCGATCATTGCCGAGTTAATCCGAAGTCGAAACGTTACATTCCGATTTCGCACGACTTTTCCCGAACTCGTAATCCCAGAATCCCATGTAATTTTATTAATTTTTAACAAAATCCTGTTTAGTCTTTCTTTACCAAACTTGCATTTAATTTCGCTATGTTTTTCATTTTCAAAACAAACATGACAGAGAAAACGTTAACAGTGTTACCAGAAAGACCTGTGGTAAGCTGCCGCTTATCTCGAATATAAAAATAAACAGAGACCCGAGCGATAATTTCTTTCACGGTGACTGGACTCGTCTTTCGCAGAATGCCCGGCGAGAGACGAAGGCCAAGTTTCACGAACGCGTGCAGGACAGCGTCAGCGTTATCTAGGATGCCGAGAGTAGAGTACTCTTTCATTTGGTTGGACGGCTGCAGCCCGATATGTTCACGCAGCTGCTCTCATCAACCGTATCAGTCCGAGAGAAAGAGAAGGGGATAGTGCGGGTACAGAAGGGAATAGCCGCGAACAAAACGCGCACAGTTCTTTGCAAAAATCAGAGCCAATAGCGTTTCGTAATTTTGTCGAGGAAAAAGGCCACGCAATGGTAGTGTGTTGGGAACAAAGGATACATCGATCTACCGTAACAGTCAATTAGGAATACGCTGGTATAGATATATAGTTAAGAATGCGACATATCCATCCATACTTTTTCGCTATTAGGCCTTTCTTTCACTCTTTTATTTTTATGCTTATTTTTTTTTCTTTCTTCTTTTCTTCCTTCTTTTCTTCGTTCATTTCTTCCTTCCTTCCTTCCTTCCTTCCTTCCTTCCTATTTTCCATTAAAGAAAGATGAAATATCGACTACAGCCGGATCCAATAATTACAAACTGCGCTCTGTATACGCGCGCGCGCACACAATTCCGCGAGGCTTGATTAAAAAGAACTTGGCACTGGTGTATAACCTTAGTACTTGCTCCAAGAAATCTTCCCCCGTTCCATAGAAAAAATTAATACCGTGTCCGAGTCGCATCGAATCCACGATTGATACTTCACCGTTGAAAATAACTCGAATTTTCGAGGACAAGGGTTCGGTGTTCGAGAAAAAGGATCGATAAAATCGCACGCAACGAGAGGTCGCTAATCGAACGCAACTTGTACGATTCGTCGATTACTCGAAGAGTTTCTTGTTTTCGATTATCGTCGTTTCGACTCATGACTCTGCGTGCACAATTAATTGATTTTACAAGCTATAAAAGTTAACTTAGCGAAAGCTCGTCTGAATAGATCCGTTTTTGCGACGAAATATTTTTTACACTCCGATAACTCGCCATCCCATCTCTTAGTGAACTTTCCTAGTGCGTTCGGTCACCGTTCAACGTTGATTACCTTTCGTTCTCGCAACATAACTACCTTCCGTGTACACGCGGTGTAGCGCATAAAACCGGGATATTAATCTAAGGATTTATAAGATTGCGATTACAGTTACATTTTTCGACGAAATAATATTCTGACAAGTCCATTTATGGAATTCATTTATGAATTATTTGAAAAATGAAATGCGCACGGTATTAGCTATTATATTCGATCGTTTTGACGAAATATATTGAAACATTTTAATAATTTTCATACGTCCTTTAAATTTTAACTCTTTTTTTTTCACTCTAAAGATAATTATTATTCACTAATCAATTTCGTATAGATGTATAAGTAATATTAATAACATTAAAAAATATATATTTTTTTTATTTAATGCGTTTATCATTTTTAGATTTATATAAATCTAATGATATATTAATATATCATTAGATTTATATTTCCCAGAAATTGCAAGACTATTTTTGCAATTATGCAATATTTTTGCTAATTTCAACAGTAATATCTATAATTCCAAAATATTCATATTCCTCTTTATAAAATTACAATCCAATATTCATAAAAAATTTTCGTAAAACTTATATTAAGAATTAAATAGAATTTATTCGTATATTATTTCCAAAGTGCAAAGGATTAAATAAAATTAAAAATTCTATGTGTCTTCAGAAATCCTTTTAAAATATTATAATATAATTACTATGGATGAGAAGGATTATCCATATAATTTTTGAAATATACAATTTTTATTCTTCTCGCATTATTAATATAAATTCATCCGAAACCATCTCTATTAATTGCAGAAATAATTCGATCTTCAAAAAAAAAAAAAAAAAAAAAAGTTC